GCTATGATTCTTTTTATTACAATCCTTCATCTGGAGTACCTCAGGGGTCGAATCTCGGACCACTTCTGTTCTTATTATTTATTAATGACCTCAGTAATTATGTCGATTGTAATAAGTTATTTTTTGCAGATGATTTGAAAATATATTTACCTGTCGAAAATATCGAAGACTGTAATACATTGCAACGACAATTAGAAAATACACAGACCTTGGTGTGAAGTAAACAAACTGTATCTCAATGCATCCAAATGTAAAGTAGTGTCTTATAGTAGTAGGAAAATGTCAGTCATCAAGTACAATTATCGAGTAGATACCATTTCACTGTCACAAAGTAACTCAATTAAAGATCTTGGTGTATATTTTGATCAGAATTTGTCTTTTTCCAACCACATTAGATCGAAAGTAAGTGAAGCGTTGAGAGAGAGCCCTTAAACCATTTAAATAGTTTTTAACTGTTGGGTAATAAAGACTATTATTATTATTATTAAAATAAACTCTTTACAAAGATGCCAACTGCTTCAGAGCCCATTAAGCAAACACGTCGTTGTCTATGGTTGTTTACTTTCAGTTGACTCGGGTTCTCCTGCACACCCTCACAGACAGTTCTCGGCAGATCTTCTGTTTCATTGACGTTCGTGTGTTGGTCGAGTTTACTGAACCAGTGGACTCAAATTCATCCACTGCATGGCGGACGATTATGATAGGACGATTATGGCGACCGTAAAATTGGCGAAGCGAGTGGTATGTTAATGAACAGAACACCCATTTTGATAAAACATTTTTTTTTGAATGATATCAATTGTCAAAGTTCGAAAGTCCCTGTTGGAAGACCCCTGTTGAGATTGAAAAAATTTGTTGAGTATCATAAACTTATTCCACACTGTCAACATGGTTTCAGACAACAAAGATCAACATCATCTGCAATTTATGAATTATGTGACAACATCTACAATAATCTCAATAATAAAAAATTTCCAATCGGATTATTCTTTGATTTAACCAGGGCTTTCGATACAGTTGACCATGTCCTGCTGCTTGAGAAACTGAATCGAATGGGAATACAAGGAGTGGCTAATGAATGGGTAGCCTCCTATTTAAAACAAAGGTCGCAAATAGTTGTTATAGACTCAATTAAATCTCAACCTGCCCCTGTTTCAATAGGAGTCCCACAGGGTTCAACCTTGGCTCCACTTTTCTTTATAATATTTATGAGCGATATAGGGTATTCATGTGCATCTTCCCAAATAACAATAATCTATGCAGATGATACCTATCAAATAATAGCAGAAAATGAACTATCTCTTTCTGTTCAGACTGCAAAATACATCTGCTGATGAATTCTCCCAGTGGTGTACAAATAATGGTCTACTAGTCAATGGTAATAAAACCATTTTCATGAATTATTAACAAAAAAACGTTTCGTTAGACTACCGTCCCCTAATAAAAATAAATAATAGGTCTATAGAGCAGTTAGGCAAATATAAGTATCTAGGTTTGATAATTGACCAAAAATTAACCTGGGAAAAACACAGTGACTATTTGACGTCCGAATTAAGTAGTGTTTGCTTTGTACTCAGGCAACTACATGGAACAGTATCTCATCAAGTACTCAAGTTGGCTTATTTTGGACTTGTACAGTTTAATATATCCTACGGATTAACCTTTTGGGGAAATTCAGCACACTCGATAAAAATATTCAAAATGCAAAAAAGAATAATAAGATGTATTACTGGCTCACACCACAGAGAATCATGTAAGAACACTTTTATTAAATTGGGTATATTGACGCTACCATCACTCTATATATTATTATTAGTTTTAAATATAAAAAAAAATGTATCCCTCTTCACAAAACAAAATATGATACATGCATACAACACTCGTCGGGGTTATGAACTGAGGCTAACCTATTCGCGGTTGACCATCGGGTAGGACTGGTAGGACTCTGCAAGCTATCAAGGTGTCATCTGTTTTAACAAAGCATCAAAAATATTGGGAAATATAGACAACTTCAATAGATTTANCCGGGTTTTCCTGCAGCTGAAAAAGCAAATGCGCCACTGGAATCAATGAAGTCACCCCGGAGCACCAATTAATTGTTATTGTTGTTTTTATTTTATTTTTATCGTTGTTTTTATGAAATGTTTTTAATTATTATATCACTAAATCAACTATATTCAATTGTTTTGACTAGTCTGATAAAATGTTATATATTATGTGTGTAATGTTTTTAATGACAAATAAATTCTATTCTATAGTTTTTCCCAGTTCCCACCTAATTCACTCAGAAGTATCGGGAAAATTATAAGGAAATTATTTCATATTTTCATATACCCTTTAAAATTTTGTCAGTAACCATTTTTCTGACAGAATGTGGAAGAATCTTCAAAATTATGTGAAACAAAAGTATAAAAACCCTTAGATCTGAATGACATTTTGGTCGGCATCAAATACCTGACCGTATTTTTAAACAAATTTCAAGATGATGTTAATGTTTCACATGTTGCTACTCAATCTGGGAATAACGGTATACGAGTATTTTCACAATCAGTCTCCTGCTGAAACTCTTACCTATGAGGAGGCAATAAGTAGCAGCAAATGTTAAAAGCAGATGTTAGAAATGCAAAAGCCACCCGAAGAAGTTTTCCTTGGATTCTCCATAACAACCTGAATCAACAAGACAAAATATTAACAATAGTTTTGTGTTGAATTTTCTGTTCTTTGTGCTTCCATTAAGTGTGTATTTTTGTTGAAAGATAAATATAACAATGTTAGAATTGTTTTTGACACCAAACAGAAATAAACATTAAATTTCTCTTAATTATAAATAATTTCTCTATTGAATGGTTAACGTGACTACAATTTTTTGCTAATATAAATATAATACTGACATTTTGACACCAATAGATATTTATTAATAATTGTATTAGTAGCAAAAATATGATTGCAAATCAGCAAAGTTAAGAATATGAAAGTTATGAAGCAGGACTTCTAAATTCAGATATAGCAAGCAGAATAATATTAAATTTTTAAAAGTGACTCAGCACTCACTCTGAAATCGTAAAACACTGACTATTCCCATTTTGGACAGAGTTTTTAGTTAACTTGATACCTTTCTGTCCTCCTGGAATTTCTACTAGCCTAATTGAGTGTGGTTTTCTCATGAAGGAAAATCCCGTTGATTTCTGTAACGGTTGCATTTGACGTTTATAGCACTGACCACTGAAATCAAAACATATTTATGAAGAATTACTCAAATATTCTCCACTTGATTAGACTCACCAGTATAATTTGGACCGCTCAACCAGAGCGTAGGAATCTCCATCTCCAATGAAGGCACTACATGAACCACAACAAAAGCATTCGGGGTGAAATTTATGTTCTCCAGCTACCATGACTGGCCCTGTGATAATCTGCAACCAAATTTTATGGCTACACAAAATATGAAGAGAAACTTCTGTGTATGCACTCAATATCTTTATTAGGAGTTTATATTGTAGTTATTTGTTTATTCTTTTCTTTTTCCATATTTTTTGTTAAACATGGAAGAAGTAGAAAGCCAAAAAGATCAGAATTTCAATTAGAGAAAGAAAGCAGAACCTTTTTTCAATCCAATTTGANTTCACTTACAATGTTCTATCCCACAAACTAATAGTTCGGCAGCTGTGAAATTTGTACACATGTCTTTTGAAGGTTAGGGTGCCGTCTTTGCTGCGGATCAAATTAGATTCTTGGCCTAAAAGATCACTTACCAAATAAAGTAATAAGCTTCATTGACAATGTAGATTCATTTGATGAAGTTGAAATAGTATGGCCAACAATAAACCTTCATTTTGGACCCAGCTATCTACATACCCATTAAAACTTTTTAAGAAAGGAAAATTCCAGTGTCATAACATTAACCTTCTAGAAAAATCATAAGGGGGTGTTTGGTCGAAGACAAAATTATTCAAACAAAATTTTCAGGAGTCATATAGAATAAAAAGACTCACTCATCCAAAAGTCGACTCATGGAAGAACTCCTTTCCTTGTCAAGGCTCGGTCGGTTCTCGGACAAATTATTTTTCCTCCGCAATTGTCGAGATCTCGTTCCACTCATATAACCTTCATCTTTTCTTCGAAATAGCCTTTCTCTTTGATCTGTCCTACTGGTGGAACCAATATTATTACTGTTATTATTGGATTCAGTACTAACAGATAAATTATCTTTTGAAGAGAGCTGTTGAGGTATTTGAACTTCTAAGGTGTTGGTTTTAGGCTCATCATGTACAGAATCGGTTGATCCAAATTTTAAGAGATCAGTTGGAATGTTTTTGTGGCATGGAATGTTGGTATCACTGGCTGTTGTTGTTAGAGGAACGTTGGACTGAGTTAACTCTGTAAATTTGGCGATATTTCTGGATATCGTATCTGGATCATGCTCTATAGTAAGCTGAAATATAAATGAGATTTTATATTTACTATTGAAATAACACTTAATGACTGAAATTCATTTTTACCTGTATTACTGTATCTGAATACCTCAGAATATTCTCTACATTTTCTAAAGGGGTATCTCTCACAGGTATTCCATTTATTTCTAAAATTTTATCGCCAATGTGTAATGACATCAAGTCATTATTCATATCCAACCTGTATGGGAAATAATATTCAATAATCACATTTGAAATATGTTAAAAAATAAATAAAAGGATTCATTTGAAAACATATTTGTTCACGACTGAAAATGTGCTTAAACATAGCTGAAGATACTTTCTACTATTACAGATTGATTCAATAAATCTAAGCTACTACTACATGACAAAATTAAGTTTTTGTGGAGGAAATTTTTTTTATTGATCTGGGCAATTCTTAGCTCTTTGTTGATAGTCAAAATTATAAAATATGACAAGTTTTCCATTCTGAAAAATACATTGAATTCATACAGTAACTTATCATAATAAACTAACAGTCTGCCCTTTCTAGCCGTATATGAAGTTCTCCATTATAATTTTAATTTTTTTTTAATTCCTCAGAAAGATCCCTATTTCACATTTCAAAACTCTTTTGACATCTCTCCATGGGCATTTGAAAATAAATTGAATCAAAGAAACAAACTGCCGTAGACAGAGGAAAATGAACCATGGTCGACCATGAAGTGGATACTTAATCGTAAGAAAATTCAGGACCTGGTAATAACAAGTGGGCTGAAAAAAGTTTTTCTGCGATTTCGTCCTTCAACCGCTCCAATAATGCTATGTAATAGTCGCTGTTGATGGTTTTTTCCATTTCAAGATAGTAAATGAATATTATACCATGTGCATCCAAAAATACTAATACCATAACCTTGCAGGCCGACTATTGCTGCGCCCTTGCAGGCTTTGGAGTCAGTTCACCACTTGCAGGGATGGTTAATTCACCTTGTTTCAAATTAGCAAACCACTTCTCAACAGTTGATTTTCCTGGTGCAAAGTATGAATAATGTTTATCAAGCTAAGCTTTGGCTCCAACAGTATTTTTTCGCCAAAAAACAATGCTTTGTCAACACACAAAATTAATTTTTATCCATTTTCTTCGAAATAACAAGAGTTGTTTCACTTACAATGTTCTATCCCACAAACTAATAGTTCGGCAGCTGTGAAATTTAGGGGCTTCGGGGATAGGTGGGGACATGGCCCGACCAGCTCAATCTTCGGAAAAATGATAAATAATAATAATAATAATAATGATGCTCATCTGTATAATAATAGTTATTTACCAAATGTTGGTAGAGGCAATATTGTTTACATCAAATTGAAATGATTTTTTTTAATATTGAAGTAGTTACATAACTTTTGTACAAGTATTTGCAAGGTCTTATATATTTAATTAGGTATGTTTCCATATGGTAGGGGTTTGGTTTTTTGTAATACAAAAACGGGTTTAATTCAAATAAATGATTCTCGTTCACCCTGAATAGTTGAAAACCGTTCTTTTAATTGTTATAAATCCATAATCTCTCTAAGTTAAAACTTATTTTTGACTATTAGGAATAAATGAAAGAAAAACAAATTGAACTATGTAACTATTCAATTCAATATTAAATTACTCAAAGAATTATCATCTACCTCTTATATATATCAATGTATTTAAATGTTTTAAAAAGCATACTTTTTGAATAATTATTAATATTATTAGTGTTAATGTATATGTGTATGTCTGTGTATATGTACTTGTGGTTAACTGTTATATTTACCATACATTTATTCATTTATTTATTTATTGTATAACAAAATCATGTTTATGGAAATATATCATTATTAATTGCATATATTTGTTCATAATTACCTGACTACACTGTTGGCAAGCTTCCCCATACCTAGTCCAGTAATCATCTTTACAAAAAAGGAGACCATCTTTTTCGAAATACCAGTTAGACAGGGCTGCATCGCAGGCTGAACACCTTCAGAAAAATCAAGACAGTGAATAAAATTATTAAAGCGGTTTACTTTAATTTTTCATTCCATTGTTTTTACCTGAAACACTCCATATGCCATTCTTGACAGAGAGCTGAAATAAATTCCTCTTCGTCAATGATGTTGAGGCATCCTGCACAAACATTTTCAGATGGTGAAAAAATATTCGTCTCTCCCTCTGCAATGAAAATTTATTCATAAATCATTTTGGTATATTTGACGATGGATGTATGAAATATAAAAAAACTTCTTTTTGCCTCTGGATGTTGGACAAGAATTTTTATTAGAATCTGATTAATCAGAATATTTGTTAATCTAGATTTATTTATTATTCAGATCTTGAATGTTAAAGGCCCCAAAAACATAAAAAAAATAGACTTCTTCATAAAAAAATGTCTTTTGCACATTTATTACATTTGGAAGATAATTGTTTGTAACTTCATCTTTTAGAATGCTGGGAAATTGATAGCTTTGAAAGATCAAGTGTATTTAAATTCTTTCCCTCTGTTGAATCTGTTTTCTGATGTGATGTTCGTTTGATCAGTTGGTTATACTGTTTCACATTTGTTGTAATCTGATATGAATCAACTTGCAATGCGAAGATTTGTTCCTTATATTTCATCATCATCTTATTTTTTCAATAAGGAGCTCTAGCTTTTTTTTCAGTTATGTATTACAATACATGTCCGTATTTGAAAGTATAGGGCTGATGATGAAATCTAATGAACGAAACGTCGCATTGCAAATTGGCTTATATCATACTATAACAAATATGAAACAGTACTGAAATAACTGCCAATGAATGAAAAGTTCATTCAAGTTCTTCAGGAAATCTGAGTTTTGTTATCATTTGATAGTCATGAAATTTGTCGCCCACGCATTAAATTAAAAAATAATGAAAAGACGTGGACATACTTCTAACGATCCCAGAAAGGGGTATATTTTTTTCCTTTTTCGAATAATACTTACCATTATTCGATTGTTCTTGCATATTTTATATTGTTTCAAATTGTTTTCCACATCAGTTGACATTAGTCAACATTTCAACAACAACCATACTTCAACCTTCAACTAGACTATGTGACATTTGATTTTCACAGTGTTGCCAATTACCCAGGTTCATTCTTTCTATTCACTTACCTATGAGGAGGCAATAAGTAGCAGCAAATGTTAAAAGCAGATGTTAGAAATGCAAAAGCCACCCGAAGAAGTTTTCCTTGGATTCTCCATAACAACCTGAATCAACAAGACAAAATATTAACAATAGTTTTGTGTTGAATTTTCTGTTCTTTGTGCTTCCATTAAGTGTGTATTTTTGTTGAAAGATAAATATAACAATGTTAGAATTGTTTTTGACACCAAACAGAAATAAACATTAAATTTCTCTTAATTATAAATAATTTCTCTATTGAATGGTTAACGTGACTACAATTTTTTGCTAATATAAATATAATACTGACATTTTGACACCAATAGATATTTATTAATAATTGTATTAGTAGCAAAAATATGATTGCAAATCAGCAAAGTTAAGAATATGAAAGTTATGAAGCAGGACTTCTAAATTCAGATATAGCAAGCAGGACTTCTAAATTCAGATATAGCAAGCAGAATAATATTAAATTTTTAAAAGTGACTCAGCACTCACTCTGAAATCGTAAAACACTGACTATTCCCATTTTGGACAGAGTTTTTAGTTAACTTGATACCTTTCTGTCCTCCTGGAATTTCTACTAGCCTAATTGAGTGTGGTTTTCTCATGAAGGAAAATCCCGTTGATTTCTGTAACGGTTGCATTTGACGTTTATAGCACTGACCACTGAAATCAAAACATATTTATGAAGAATTACTCAAATATTCTCCACTTGATTAGACTCACCAGTATAATTTGGACCGCTCAACCAGAGCGTAGGAATCTCCATCTCCAATGAAGGCACTACATGAACCACAACAAAAGCATTCGGGGTGAAATTTATGTTCTCCAGCTACCATGACTGGCCCTGTGATAATCTGCAACCAAATTTTATGGCTACACAAAATATGAAGAGAAACTTCTGTGTATGCACTCAATATCTTTATTAGGAGTTTATATTGTAGTTATTTGTTTATTCTTTTCTTTTTCCATATTTTTTGTTTAACATGGAAGAAGTAGAAAGCCAAAAAGATCAGAATTTCAATTAGAGAAAGAAAGCAGAACCTTTTTTCAATCCAATTTGAACTTTATTTTTTGATTCATTTTTAGTTTCTCTTGAAGATTATTATACAGTGCATTTTTTTAATGTCTCCCCCCCTTTATTTTTTGACTGGGTCAACTCAAAAAATTGAAATTTGAGATAATGAAATTAATGCATGAATACTTTATTTTGAAGTGAAATTGACAGATGAAACGTTCAAGATGGCAACTGGGCGCCATCTGGGAAAACAAAATTAAATGGAAAGGAGAATATAATGTCAATATCTTTAACTACTACAAAATGGCGGAACTTTTAACCATTGCCTGAATACATTAACATTCAACTACATAATATAAGGTAATAAGCTTGAAGTCAGTTCAGAAGATGCTCGAAATGGTTGCCTTGAACTTCTTGACATATGAACAGCCTATCCGATATTTCACGCCGATAATTTTCGAACACAGTAACGTCAATATCTCTACAAATATTTATTATTCTCTGCCATATATCCAATAATGAAGCAGGTTCAGTTTCGTACACCTTCTGCTTCAAATAGCCCCATAAAAAAAAGTCCAAAGGTGTCAAATCTGGCGAGCGGGCTGGCCATTCTGTAGGACCTCGATGGCCAATCCAACGATCGGGAAAAGTAGTATCCAAATAGTTTCTTACTTGTCTGGAGTAATATGGTGGTGCTCTATCTTGTTGGAATACAATATTCGTATCGAATTCATTAGAATTTGCAACAGTAGTTTCCAGCATATTCAATTACAGTTTCCCTATGGAATTTTGTTCTATAAATAGAGGTCCTAAAATATGGTTTACCAATATTTCTGCCCAAACGTTAACTTTTTCTGAATATTGAGTATGTGTTTCCCGGAAAACGTGAGAGTTGGTGTCACTTCAATAACAGTAATTTTGTCTGTGAACATTGCCGTTCAAAAAAAATGTACATTCGTCACTAAAACAAATATTGTGGAAATAGGTAGGATGCCTTGCAATGGTTTCCGACATGATTTTGCAGAATTCTGTTCTTCGATCAGGGTCATCTTCAGTCATCCTCTTCAAAAGTCTCCACACAGTAGAAATAGACACCTCACAAACATTCGTGACGGAATAAGTAGACTGTTCAGGATTTACTACCATCTCACCAATTATTGCATACATATGTTTGTATATATGTATGTATATGTGTATGTCTGTGTATATGTACTTGTGGTTAACTGTTATATTTACCATACATTTATTCATTTATTTATTTATTGTATAACAAAATCATGTTTATGGAAATATATCATTATTAATTGCATATATTTGTTCATAATTACCTGACTACACTGTTGGCAAGCTTCCCCATACCTAGTCCAGTAATCATCTTTACAAAAAAGGAGACCATCTTTTTCGAAATACCAGTTAGACAGGGCTGCATCGCAGGCTGAACACCTTCAGAAAAATCAAGACAGTGAATAAAATTATTAAAGCGGTTTACTTTAATTTTTCATTCCATTGTTTTTACCTGAAACACTCCATATGCCATTCTTGACAGAGAGCTGAAATAAATTCCTCTTCGTCAATGATGTTGAGGCATCCTGCACAAACATTTTCAGATGGTGAAAAAATATTCGTCTCTCCCTCTGCAATGAAAATTTATTCATAAATCATTTTGGTATATTTGACGATGGATGTATGAAATATAAAAAAACTTCTTTTTGCCTCTGGATGTTGGACAAGAATTTTTATTAGAATCTGATTAATCAGAATATTTGTTAATCTAGATTTATTTATTATTCAGATCTTGAATGTTAAAGGCCCCAAAAACATAAAAAAAATAGACTTCTTCATAAAAAAATGTCTTTTGCACATTTATTACATTTGGAAGATAATTGTTTGTAACTTCATCTTTTAGAATGCTGGGAAATTGATAGCTTTGAAAGATCAAGTGTATTTAAATTCTTTCCCTCTGTTGAATCTGTTTTCTGATGTGATGTTCGTTTGATCAGTTGGTTATACTGTTTCACATTTGTTGTAATCTGATATGAATCAACTTGCAATGCGAAGATTTGTTCCTTATATTTCATCATCATCTTATTTTTTCAATAAGGAGCTCTAGCTTTTTTTTCAGTTATGTATTACAATACATGTCCGTATTTGAAAGTATAGGGCTGATGATGAAATCTAATGAACGAAACGTCGCATTGCAAATTGGCTTATATCATACTATAACAAATATGAAACAGTACTGAAATAACTGCCAATGAATGAAAAGTTCATTCAAGTTCTTCAGGAAATCTGAGTTTTGTTATCATTTGATAGTCATGAAATTTGTCGCCCACGCATTAAATTAAAAAATAATGAAAAGACGTGGACATACTTCTAACGATCCCAGAAAGGGGTATATTTTTTTCCTTTTTCGAATAATACTTACCATTATTCGATTGTTCTTGCATATTTTATATTGTTTCAAATTGTTTTCCACATCAGTTGACATTAGTCAACATTTCAACAACAACCATACTTCAACCTTCAACTAGACTATGTGACATTTGATTTTCACAGTGTTGCCAATTACCCAGGTTCATTCTTTCTATTCAAGCTCAATCGGGTGGACGTAGTTGTTTTACTCTAGGCAATGCTACAAGAACATGTTTTTTTACGATTTTCTCGTCTTCACATGAATCACATCCATATTTTTTGTGGTTCTTTTCAAGGACAAAACACAAGCACTACAGGAAAACCTTTAGGTCGCTCTAAGACCAGTGCCTGTGCGAAAATAGCGATTCACATTGAATTTGAATCGCTGGAGAATAAATCAATTTGGAAAAACGTTCTCGGAAAAACCTGCAGCACCACATCATCTGAAGATCTTAATCTGCCAATGTCCTCTCTTTCATAAAACAAAATGAAGAGTGTCTCCAGAGGCTCCAATAAATTCGATACATCGCCAGAACAATCAGTGATACGACTATCGTCCAACTTAAACCAATCCGTATCTTATCTTCTGGCTATATAGGTCTTCCCCAGCCTGCTAACCAAGTGGCTGTAATACCACCCGTTGACGCATCTGCCACCAGTGGAGATTATCAGAACACGCAGGGCACTCCACTGAATAAGACCTCTTAAACTACAAGAACTGGTTTGTTTGGATATCAGAAAAGTCTGACATATGGCAAACTAACACCGCCGTTAGTCGCTTTCCGAATCGGAAGGACGGTATCCCAGCCCGGCGGTTCAGAAGATTGATGAGGGCGGCTAAGATGAAGTTGTCGAGACAACACGCGTCTCATATCTAATGGGTAATGGATTACAGGGCGGCCAACAAGCCTTTCACTCATCTTCCACATCACATTTTGAGTCAAGGCGTGGTTGCTTACCACCAAAAAGTTCTGCCTTGATAGCGCTGCAAGCGGCCGCTAAAAAGTCACTATATAGTGAGAAGTATCACGAACAAGTCCCACTTGTTCTGACCCTTTTTCTGTTTGGTTCGCAACAACAGGTTTGTTCTGGTTCTCTGCCCGGACTGTTCCTAACAGTCAAAAAACAGTCACCCAACTGAATACTGAAAATTTTGTCACGTTAACCTTTTCAGTCCACAACTGACTCACTGATTTTGGACGATTCAAAACAGTCTAGCTTTGAACCAGCAGAGAGCAGAATTGGAGCATTTCTCTATAAGACAGTTTTCCAAGCGGCTGATGATGAGCTCGGTTTAGTTTTTGACACTGAACGGAGTCACTCTGTACTTGTTATGCATTGTTTGGAACCTTTGGGGCAGAAATGAATATTACTGGAGTTCTACTCCAACACCAAACTGTTATTTTTAACACCTCGACACTACGTGTTTCACCAAGTGATCCATCTTCAAGAGGAATATTAAACTGATTAATAATAATATAGTCTCGGAGATCAGTTTGATCCACGGTGAGGTCATCTTTAAGAACATCGAAGATTTCGGCTTATCAAAGCACCTGACCTTCGCTTTCCTCGGTCGATTGGGCTAAAGTCGGGAACAAAGGGGTTCATCGTAGTCTGCCAAGAAGATGTCTTCAACACCTTAGTCTACCGCAACCGCGTGATGGGTATAGAGGTACCTGACACCAGGTGCAGGGTTTCGGAGAGTCCTATGATACCCTAATAAGCTTACTCAGTCTATATCCATCGACATAACGCGGCCCTACAGTGCCTTATTACCACCTGGTACTGTATTGACTAGACACCGGCGTTGCCCTACGCTTCGGGGGATATTGAATACTTTGTAGGGAATGGGAAGTGTCGAATTTATCAGAACTATTCATTCCCCACCATTAGGTAGGAACGAATGCGTCGTGGGTGAGACGAATATCGCCCTAAAAGAGGAAGAAAGTCAGATGAAATATTGAGATTTTTCTCTGAACTTTTCAAACCGCTCTGTCAAGATGGAGTGATTATTGGAGTGGTTGGTGGTACTAAAGCAAAAATCTTGGTCAGAAAAATTCAGATGGTTGTCAGTTTCGGCGCATTGCATCTGCTTAGGGCACATGATTCTTGGAGCAAAGGATCACTTATCCTGCGGTATAGGGAGTGGTCATTGGTTGACAATGCTGACGCGCCCTCCCGAATGTGTTGGGGCTTCGGGGATAGGTGGGGACATGGCCCGACCAGCTCAATCTTCGGAAAAATGATAAATAATAATAATAATAATAATGATGCTCATCTGTATATATATAATCTAAAAATTATAACAGAAAATCCGTGTACTCAGGTGTATATATTTTAACTAGTTTGTGCTGAAAATAGTAAAGTGTGCAAGATACATTGTAAAGGTTAGATAAAGTGTATGATATTGTGTCTAAATTTGAGCAAATCGAAGTTGACGTTAATTCTATTAAAGACAATGTATATTCGTCAAGTGAACGATATTAGTTCTAAAAATATACTAGGAAACGTGCCTAACTTTTGTAAATTCATACAAAAGAGCTTAGGAAAAGATAAAAGCAGTTTGAGACACTCTGAAACTCAGTTTACCAAAAGTGCCTGTTGCAGATGGAATTTCATATAAATGACACATATGAATGACACAAAATGACTAACCACTCTCTGCTATGGGTCCTGTTTTCTAAATAGGGTCATAAGTCCCAAGGCCAAAGTGTTTCAGTCAATTGGAATTTTCTCAAAAACTGGGTAACCATTTAAGAACAAATTCGTGCTTCATAGAGGAAATGAAATTAGCAGACATTTTGTGTTTTCATTACAACATAATACGTATCAATTTTTGAAGGCATATAATATGTTATATACAGATCTGTATTTTCAGGTACAAGAAAATGAGTATTCATGAATCTAACGTATTGCGGTTATAATCAAGCCTCTCAGATCATAATCATAACATTCAACATCTCATCTTCTTTCGAAAAGATATTGTTTCCGTTACATACCGCCAAAGCATGCACAAGCAAGAAATTGTATTTTTCAGAACAATGTAGTTACAATTCTATACTTTTCAGTTGAACTGGTACCTTATAAGATACAAGTGTGGCCATAAAAGTCTCAGGTATCTTCTTGTAATCAGAAAAGTGATGATATGGAGGAAATTTAGAATTGAAAATAAAGTAAAACATTTTTTCAAATCTTGTGGACCAATGAAATCAAGATAAATAAGATTGGCTGATAAGAAAATGAATCGGACACATTACTACTGAGCCAATTCACCGCTCATTAATATTTTATAATCGATATTACTTATTGACAACTGCAATACGAGGGTGATCTGAAAAGTTTCAGACCTAAAAAAAAAAGATACGACATTTTTTAAAATTTGTTTTGCTCTCAACAGTCTCCTTTCAACTCTACCTACTTCTCCCAGCAATGCTCCCATCTCTTTACGCCGTCCAAATAGTACTCGGCATTTTTCTCTGCAAAATAATTGTTCACGAAGGTGACTGCCTTCTCATTTGACGAAAATCTCTGTCCTCCGAGCGTAATTTTTAGATGATGGAACAAAAAGAAGTCGCTTGGGGCTAAATCTGGTGAGTGTGGCAGATAGTCAAGCAGTTCAAACCGTAATTCGTAGATTTTTGCCATGGCAACCGCTGAGGTGAGAGACGGTGCGGTGTCTTGGTGAAACAGAATTTTATTTTTCTACAAATGTGGCAGTTTTTTCGATATGCATATGATTATTCAAATGACAGTGGCCTGTACGAAGGCCTGTTAGACATCGTAGTTCATCCCTACTGTAGTCCAATAAACGCCTTGGTGTGAGCCAATCCTAGAAGATTCTGCCAGAAGTCCATAGACCTTCTTGCCATCCAGGTGTTCAATCTTTGTTTGCTGAAAGCGATGCCAGTGACAGGTTCTGGTCCGATGAAGCTGCTTGCAGCACATGCGAAATATACTCCATGACTTGCCCAAAAAAGTTTTTGCTTTTTATGGAGCCGGTTTCCCTTTGCAGTCCACTGTTTAGACTGCATTTTCGTTTCGGGCGTATAATGGTGTATCCAAGTTTCATCTACATTCATTAATCGGCGCCAAAATTTGGATTTAGTGCGCCTAAACTGCGCCAACAGAGCGTTGGAAATGTTCATTCGAACACGCTTTTGTTCTAACGTGAGCAAACGCGGCACCCAACGCGCAAACAGTTTTCTCATGCCTGCATGTTGATTTAATATGTGACAAACACATTCTTTTGACATGTTCATAACCTCTGCTATCTCTCTTACTTCAATTCGGTGTTCGTCTAGCACTATTTGGTGAATTCTGGCGATGTTTTCGTCGATAGTTGCAGTTTTTCGACGTCCCGAACGTTAATCGTCTCCCTAGCTCTTACGGCCACGTTCAAATTGTTGACCAAAATTTCACTGTGGTAAATGCTGGTGGTACAAGCGTTTCCATATACAGAATCCAACTCATCTTTGATTTGCGTAGGCGTATCGCCTATTTAATGACAGCTCGATACTCAATGAACCTTTTTCCTGAAGTACGAAAAATCACTCACTAGCAGCGCTAGTAGTTCGGTAGGGACAAACACTGCCTAATCCTCATATAAACATATGGTAAAGTACAATTAAAGAAGAATGTTTTCAACAGAAGATGGTCCTGCAGCAAAACTAAAATTTGCAACTGTAAAGGATAACAATGTTGTAACATTAAAACGTTGGCTAGCGTGGCGTAATTTAAAAGTAACTGGGAAAAAAGTGAATTAATAGACAGGTTAGTATACAGACTCTAGTAAAAGAGTAGCGGTAGATTCAAACTGTAATAAAAGAAATTTAAAATAATTATGAATGTCAGATTTATTTCCGAGTGAAATATGAATCAAATATAGATGGTAATGAAATAAATTTAACTAAATATAATTTAATGAACGATTGAGATTATATCTCATTCTAATCAATGGTAATTAACTATGAAAAATTTACTATTCATTTCATGTTCAGAGCATACATATGAATATTTATTTATTTTTTGCAGTGTTAAATCCACTCTCCTCGAAACATGTATCCATTTCTTACATCTAACCTCATTATTACGAGTTTTTATAAATGGTATAAAA